GATCGTCACTTGTGATGAAAAGTGCATTTACTTCAACAACACAGGCTGAAAAAGGGTTTTGCGCCCAGTGAGCCCATAGCATCGTCATAACGTACAATTTGACTAACAAAAAGATCATGCTTTGTATATGGTGGAATTGCCATGATATCATACCCAAAGAGTATCCAGAAAAAAGTAAAACCCTTGACAGTAAGGTGTACATCCGAGATGCTATCAAGGAAAAACATCTAAGTTTTGGTACAAAATGATAATGTTTCATCAAGACAAATGCAAGACCACATGTGACTGCATTTACCAGCTGGACTCTGTATGGACTCGAATGTTATATTTTACCATACATTCCATATAGCCCTGGCATCTCTCTTTTGGACTCTACCTTTTTCACCACTTGTGGCTACATTTTGCTGGTGCTTGCTATCTTCCATTTTGCATGGGACACCTGAAATGAGGTTGATCTGTTTTTGGACTTGCAGCCACCAAGTTTCTGGGCTGAAGACTTTGAAAAATTACCAAAACATTGGCAGAAAATCATAGATTTGGGTGGTGATTACCAAAGCTGCTTCGAGAGAAGTGTCTTCAGTCCCATATTACAACCTGCTGTGAATCCAGCAGCGGTTGTGCTGTTAACTAAAACTCTTGCCCCGTCCTCCTCCCCCGAATTCGGTGACCTGAAACGAATGGAATTACTAAATTAATTGGATTAATGTATATCTGAAGGAATCTTTTTTACATTTTTAAAAAAAAGTTTTTCTCCCTCTCTCAAAAAATTTTTAGTTGTTAACTTCTGCAGATTTGTTTAAAATATCCAATAAAAAATGTTCAAAATGAGATGGAATTTATTTTTACAGATTTCCTATAGAAAAGTAAAGGTTAGTACTTGATTAACACTTTTGTTATTTGTAAGCAAGCAAATTAAAAATGTGATATTTAAACATTGAATAATTTTATCCTGCATGGCGTGGTTTATATATCACTGTGTGTCCATTAAATGTATTGGTTTGCCATACAATGCAGAAAAATTCATATGATTTACAGTTAGCATTTTGTCAGCAGGATTTAATCTTACAGAGGTGAATTGTATTAAAAATAAGCATTTCAGTTAATTTTATTTATGTAGTAATTTTAATGAAAAATGTACTGGGTTTAAAATGGTTCTAAATACTGAATCATTTAACACTTTAATGTACATTTTCCAGCTTTTACTAATTTATTTGCTATAAAAAATTAATAAGTCTTTCTCTAAGATAATTTTGGGTATTAGATCCTAGAATTACAGACAGAGAAACATGAAAATGCTTGCATCAGAGTGATACGAGAAGAAAATATTACGTGTGAATATAGCAAAAGAGGTTGCCAAAGATACATATTTTGATGGACGTGATTAGTAGAAATCTGATGAGTGATCACCATTTTAATAGTAATATGTTATTCCCTCATTTTGTCAATAATTAATATTTTAGAGAAACTATTTGGATCATTTTATTTTTTGATAAATATAGCATAGGTGCATTTTGAGGAAAATTTTCATAATTTTTTAAGAAATTTTATTCTTAAATTTTTGAAACGACTTATTAATTTATAGCACATATATTAGTAAAAGCTGGAAAATGTGCATTAAAGTGTTAAATGATTCAGTATTTAAAACCAATTTTAAACCCAGTAAATTTTTCATTAAAAAAATTACTACATAAATAAAAAGCACTTCACCTCTGTAAGATTAAATGTTGCTGATAAAATGCTTACTGTAAATTGTATGAATATTTCTGCAGTGTATGGTAAACCGATAAATTTAATGGACATTCAGTCATACATAAACCATGCCATGCAGGATAAAATTATTCTCACGTTTAAATGTAAAATAATCTCATTTCTAATCCACTTACAAAAGTGTAAAATAATCCAGTACTAATTTTTGCTCTTCTATAGGAAACCTGTAGACATGCATTCCATCTGATTTTGACAAAATCTTCTTTGTTTGTGCAACCTTTAAAGTGTCAGTATCGGTACACCATTTTGGCCAAAGCTGATTCGAAGTTGTTGCAGGAAAAGGAGTGAAACAAATTCAGATTGAATATCCAATGACTGAAAAGAAAGGGGCATGTGCAGTTTTAGTGATTATGTTTCCACAATGCAACCGCCATGAGCACTGCAGTCACTTCGAAGCACAAGTTTCTCCCATTGAAGTAAGCTTTACGTACGGCTTTGGCGATTACTAGCTGCACTAAAGGTACTGCTTTCATGTTTCTTTCCTAACTTTATTAAGAACGTTTTTTGGCAGAAAACTGTAGGTGCAACTAGATACTTCGTTTTATCTCATGTAGAAAGTTATAGCAAAACAGAATAGCACCCTCTGTAAATTGGGAGTTTAGTAAATCAGTGTAAGGGCATAATCATGAGATTAATATTTATATGCAATATTGCCTTAACTTTTATTGAAATATTCTCCCCCAGCTTGAATTCTTTATTGATTTTCTTGAAAGGAATACATGTATTATAGTTATTTTTCTTTGAATAAAAATGTGGAATCTAAAAGCAACATGTGCAAATAAAGCCTTAAATCTATATTTAGTTTTATTTTGATGCATCTTATTCTCTTTTTACCCCAATTTCATTTAACAGTAATTCAAAATAAGTATTCATGTGTGTCATTTTAAGTTCCCCCCTCCTAAATTCTAAGAGAAAGTTATGTTCTGGAACAAAAGTACTAATTCATTAGCAAGAGATACATGAGGTATTGTTAAGGAAAAAATGGAAAATGCTTTGGTAATAAGGATGGAACATATGGAGAAAAAGTCTCAGTAGGTGAAAATGCCATCAAGGAAACAGAACTAAGAATTTAGATTAGACAGATTATGGAAATTAAAAGAGCAAAGGCTGTTTTAAAGAAATAAAGACATTGAAGGAAACGAGCCAAACACTTCATTTTAGTTAAACAAAGTATGAATTTTCTGCAAGCACAGGTTGAATGACTAGGTTTCTAAAAAGGAATGCAAGATGAAACTGCATCTTTGGATGAATCGGCTGCTTAAGTATTCCCATGGAAACTTGTTGAAATAATGGAAGATGGGGAATGCATTCTTGATCAAGTGTGGAGTGCAGATGAAAGTGGTCTCTTCTGGAAGTGAATGCCAAACAGAGCACGTGTAGCTAAATCCAAAAAACTACTGGTGGTTCAAAGGCAGCTAAAGATTATGTGACCATATTTTGTTCCCTAGCTTCAGGATATTGTATGTTGAAACCACTTCTGGTAAATCGAACCCTGAACCTTTTTCAATGAAAAATATAGATATATGTAAGCTGCCTGCTCATTGAATGGAGAGTGGGTGGCCACTGCTACCGTTACGTACTGGTGCAACAAATGTTTCACCCCAGAAGTTTGACATTATATGAGTGTGAAGTGTTTCAAATTTAAAGTTCATCTGATTTTTCAACAGTACATTTGTCTATTCTCTTTTTGAGCACCCAAATATACAAATTCTACTTCTGCTATCGAATACGATATCTTCATTACAACTGTTAGATGACTGTGTAAATGTGGCATTTAAAACTTTACATAAAATGAACATTTCAACACATTCGAATGATGAAATGCCAGTCATTGATGGATGGAAGAATTTCTCAATGATGAATTCTGTCAAGTATATTGCATTTGCATTAACTGAATTGAAGGCAGCAACTTTGACTGCAAGTCAGAAATGGTCTTGCCACAATGCGTAAGAGGTGAAGATTCTATGATCCCCTCATATTCCCCACAGTGTTTTTCAATGAATGGAGTATGAGTTCAGTTACAAATAGGTATCCCTATACAAATGAATTTCCAATATCAGTCCATTGTCACACACAGTAGGTGGAGAAAAATTTGGTGATGTATTATTTTAAACTGTTCATGAATGTTGAGTTGACAAAGCCTGAAATGAAAAGGAAATATTAGAGGTTGTTCTTGAGACTCGTAAATCCACGCAACATTCTAATAATGAAAAAGAACAAAACAAAAAAAAAAAAAAAAGATCCATTTCTGAATGCAGATTTAATAAAAGAAGGACTGCAATTAGCCCAGAAAATGGGATAGTGATTTTGTTTCAACATGAACTGCAGTTGTGGACAACCTTTTACTGAAAATTATATAATGGCCTATCTGAAGCATGAACATAGTGATTAATAATTGAATTCATTTGTAAAATTGAGGGAACAGCACTAGGGGAAGCACATGCTGATATTTTTTGAGGTCACAGTAATTTCATTAATAGAGGAAGAAGTTGATATCCACAAGATTTCTGTTGATAGCAGCGATATTCCATTGGTATGCATGATTCATTGTCAGAAACTGAAGTGATATCTTACGAGCAAATAAACCAAAAAAAAAAAAAAAAAGAAAAAGTGAAGAATTTTTTCGTTTCAAATGTGAATTTACTTCAATATATTTTCATTACTTATGTGTATTTGTTTTGTTGAAATAAAATAATAAGCTTAAACTGAATACTTTCAGACTTAAATTTATTTTCTTCTGACTTATGCACAGAACCCATTTCCTTTTTTTTTTTTACATGTGTTCTTCAGGAACATATGTAAAAATAAAAGTGTATTATTGTTTATTGTATTACATGTAAACCTGTCTTGTATTAAGGTATACATTTTTGTTTAAATCAGATACATTTGTTTGTTGTACACCCTATCATTTTTGTTTTTATGCGAGCTCACATATGTGTCACTAATACCACACTTTAAATTACCAAAATGTTAATGAATGATAGGCTGTAAGGAACAGTGCGTTATAGAAATGAATGTGATGAGATTATGCTGAATTCATGAAAATCTCATACGATCTGATAATTAATGTCGACAGTGTTTAGGTAAACAACTTTGTCTGAATTATTGATGTGTGAGGCTTATATGTCATTATCAGTATAACAGTTTTTTTTGTTATGTAATTTTTTGAGTTTGTAAACTGAAGTAAAGTAAGCATTTAATGAGTAAATTAAGGATTTAATTTTGTGATTTAGATGGAAGAAAAAGAAAAACTAGAAAGAAGAAAGTTGAAGTTTGGAACTGGTGGGCCATTTGCAGAAACCTCCAGAATGAGTGATGAAGTAAGTGAAATTTAGTTTGAAGTAAGAGAAAATTAGTGTAGCTAAATCCAAAAAACTACTGGTGGCTCAAAGGCAGCTAAAGATTGTGACCATATTATTTTGTTCCAGTGCTTGAGGATATTGTATGTTGAAACCATTTCTGGTAAATCGAACCCTGAACCTTTTTCAATGAAAAAATATAGATATCTGTAAGCTGCCTGTTCATTGAATGGAGCTTGTGTGGCCACTGCTACCATTACGTGCTGGTTCAACAAGTGTTTCACACCAGAAGTTTGACATTATATGAGTGTGAAGTGTTTCAAATTTAAAGTTCATCTGATTTTTCAACAGTACATTTGTTTATTCTGTTTTTGAACACCCAAATATACAAATTCTACTTCTGCTATCGAATACGATATTTTTATTACAACTGTTAGATGACTGTGTAAATGTGGCGTTTAAAACTTTACATAAAATGAACATTTCAACATATTCGAATGATGAAATGCGAGTCATTGATGAATGGAAGAATTTCTCAGTGATGAATTCTATAAACTGTGTTGCATTTGCATTAACTGAATTAAAAGCCAGCAATTCCTAGTGCACGTCAGAAAACGGTCTGGCTACAATATGTAAAAGGTGAAGATTCTATGATCCCCCATATTCCCCACAGTGTTTTTCAATGAATGGGGTACGAGTTTGTTTATAGATAGGTATCCGTATACATTAACATTAACATCAAGGAAGCAGCCTTTGTCCTGGGAGATAGGATCTCCCGTTCAAGGTTTAATTGAGCCACGACTTTAGGACCGATCTGGTAGGCATCATCCCTCCCGATCCCCACAGAGGGAAAACTTCCCTCACAGATTGCTCGTCAGCGCAGGGACCGGCGGGCGACCATCATGAAGAGATCCACATGGTCAGTCCCAACGCTGACTATTTTCTAAGTAACAGTGAAAAACTAAGTTAAAATTTCCCAAAGATCGGGGCACCACTCCCTTTCGCGGTACTCAATTCCAGGACAGTATTGCCAAAACCAGAGATCATAACATCCCTCCACACCGACCGAAAGGAATCATATCCTCCCAGACCAGCCTCACCATCCACCATGTAATGTGCCCACAGCTAAATGAATTTCCCAATATCAGTCCATTGTCACACACAGTTGGTGGAGAAAAATTTGGTGATGCATTATTTGAAGCTGTTCATGAATGCTGAGTTGACAAAGCCTGAAATGAAAACGAAATATTAGAGGTTGTTCTTGAGACTCGTAATTCCACGCAACATTCTAATAATGAAAAAGAACAAAAGAAAAAAAAAAAGATCCATTTCTGAATGCGGATTTAATAAAAGAAGGACTGCAACTAGCCCAGAAAATGGGATAGTGGTTTTGTTTCAACATGAACTGCAGTTGTGGACAACCTTTTACTGAAAATTATATAATGGCCTATCTGAAGCATGAACATAGTGATTAATAATTGAATTCATTTGTAAAATTGAGGGAACAGCACTAGGGGAAGCACATGCTGATATTTTTTGAGGTCACAGAAATAATTTCATTAATAGAGGAAGAAGTTGATATCCACAAGATTTCTGTTGATAGCAGCGATATTCCATTGGTATGCATGATTCATTGTCAGAACTGAACCAATATCTTACGAGCAAATGAAACCAAAAAAAAAAAAAAAAAGAAAAAGTGAAGAATTTTTTCGTTTCAAATGTGAATTTACTTCAATATATTTTCATACTACTTATGTGTATTTGTTTTGTTGAAATAAAATAATAAGCTTAAACTGAATACTTCAGACTTAAATTATTTTCTTCTGACTTATGCACAGAACCCATTTCCTTTTTTTTTTTTACATGTGTTCTTCAGGAACATATGTAAAAATAAAAGTGTATTATTGTTTATTGTATTACATGTAAACCTGTCTTGTATTAAGGTATACATTTTTGTTTAAATGAGATACATTTGTTTGTTGTACACCCTATCATTTTTGTTTTCATGCGAGCTCACATATGTGTCAATAATACCACACTTTAAATTACCAAAATGTTCATGAATGATAGGCTGTAAGGAACAGTGCGTTATAGAAATGAATGTGATGAAATTATGCTAAATTCATGAAAATCAGATACGATCTGATAATTAATGTCGACAGTGTTTAGGGTGTAAACATCTTTGTCTGAATTATTGATGTGTGAGACTTATTTGTTATTATCAGTATAACAGTTTTTTTTTTTGTTATGTAATTTTTTGAGTTTGTAAACTGAAGTAAAGTAAGCATTTAATGAGTAAATTAAGGATTAAATTTTGTGATTTAGATGGAAGAAAAAGAAAAACTAGAAAGAAGAATGTTGAAGTTTGGAATTGGTGGGCCATTGGCAGAATCTTCCAGAATGAGTGATGAAGTAAGTGAAATTTAGTTTGAAGTAAGAGAAAATTAGTGTAGCTAAATCCAAAAAACTACTGGTGGCTCAAAGGCAGCTAAAGATTGCGACCATATTATTTTGTTCCAGTGCTTGAGGATATTGTATGTTGAAACCATTTCTGGTAAATCGAACCCTGAACCTTTTTCAGTGAAAAATATAGATATCTGTAAGCTGCATGTTCATTGAATGGTGCTTGAGTGGCCACTGCTACCGTTACGTGCTGGTTCAACAAGTGTTTAACACCAGAAGTTTGACATTATATGAGTGTGAAGTGTTTCAAATTTAAAGTTCATCTGATTTTTCAACAGTACATTTGTTTATTCTGTTTTTGAACACCCAAATATACAAATTCTACTTCTGCTATCGAATACGATATCTTTATTACAACTGTTAGATGACTGTGTAAATGTGGCGTTTAAAACTTTACATAAAATGAACATTTCAACATATTCGAATGATGAAATGCGAGTCATTGATGAATGGAAGAATTTCTCAGTGATGAATTCTATAAACTGTGTTGCATTTGCATTAACTGAATTAAAGCCAGCAATTCCTAGTGCACGTTAGAAAACGGTGTCGCTACAATATGTAAAAGGTGAAGATTCTATGATCCCCCATATTCCCCACAGTGTTTTTCAATGAATGGGGTACGAGTTTGTTTATAGATAAGTATCCGTATACATTAACATTAACATCAAGGAAGCAGCCTTTGTCCTGGGAGATAGGATCTCCCTTTCAAGGTTTAATTGAGCCACGACTTTAGGACCGATCTGGTAGGCATCATCCCTCCCGATCCCCACAGAGGGAAAACTTCCCTCACAGATTGCTCGTCAGCGCAGGGACCGGCAGGCGACCATCACGAAGAGATCACAGGGTCAGTCCCAACGCTGAATATTTTGTAACTAACAGTGAAAAACTAAGTTAAAATTTAACAAAGATCGGGGCACCACTCCCTTTCGCGGTACTCAATTCCAGGACAGTATTGCCAAAACCAGAGATCATACATCCCTCCACACCGACCGAAAGGAATCATATCCTCCCAGACCAGCCTCACCATCCACCATGTAATGTCCCCACAGCTAAATGAATTTCCAAATATCAGTCCATTGTCACACACAGTTGGTGGAGAAAAATTTGGTGATGCATTATTTGAAGCTGTTCATGAATGCTGAGTTGACAAAGCCTGAAATGAAAACGAAATATTAGAGGTTGTTCTTGAGACTCGTAATTCCTTGCAACATTCTAATAATGAAAAAGAAGAAAAAAAAAAAAAAAAAAAAAAAGAGATCCATTTCTGAATGCAGATTTAATAAAAGAAGGACTGCAATTAGCCCAGAAAATGGGATAGTGATTTTTTTTTCAACATGAACTGCAGTTGTGGACAGCCTTTTACTGAAAATTATATTATGGCCTATCTGAAGCATGAACATAGTGATTAATAATTGAATTCATTTGTAAAATTGAGGGAACAGCATTAGGGGAAGCACATGCTGATATTTTTTGAGGTCACAGAAATAATTTCATTAATAGAGGAAGAAGTTGATATCCACAAGATTTCTGTTGATAGCAGCGATATTCCATTGGTATGCATGATTGATTGTCAGAAACTGAACCAATATCTTACGAGCAAATGAACCAAAAAAAAAAAAGGTGAAGAATTTTTTCGTTTCAAAAGTGAATTTACTTCAATACATTTTCATTACTTATGTGTATTTGTTTTGTTGAAATAAAATAATAAGCTTAAACTGAATATTTTCAGACTTAAATTTATTTTCTTCTGACTTATGCACAGAACCCATTCCTTTTTTTTTTTTACATGTACTCTTCAGGAACATATGTAAAAATAAAAGTGTATTATTGTTTATTGTATTACATGTAAATCTGTCTTGTATTAAGGTATACATTTTCCTTTAAATGAGATACATTTGTTTGTTGTACACCCTGTCGTTTTTGTTTTTATGCGAGCTCACATATGTGTCACTAATACCACACTTTAAATTACCAAAATGTTAATGAATGATAGGCTGTAAGGAACAGTGCGTTATAGAAATGAATGTGATGAGATTATGCTGAATTCATGAAAATCAAATACGATCTGATAATTAATGTCGACAGTGTTTAGGTAAACAACTTTGTCTGAATTATTGATGTGTGAGGCTTATATGTCATTATCAGTATAACAGTTTTTTTTGTTATGTAATTTTTTGAGTTTGTAAACTGAAGTAAAGTAAGCATTTAATGAGTAAATTAAGGATTTAATTTTGTGATTTAGATGGAAGAAAAAGAAAAACTAGAAAGAAGAAAGTTGAAGTTTGGAACTGGTGGGCCATTTGCAGAAACCTCCAGAATGAGTGATGAAGTAAGTGAAATTTAGTTTGAAGTAAGAGAAAATTAGTGTAGCTAATCCAAAACTACTGGTGGCTCAAAGGCAGCTAAAGATTGTGACCATATTATTTGTTCCAGTTGCTTGAGGATTTGTATGTTGAAACCTTTCTGGTAAATCGAACCCTGAACCTTTTTCATGAAAAATATAGATATCTGTAAGCTGCCTGTTCATTGAATGGAGCTTTGTGTGGCCACTGCTACCATTACGTGCTGGTTCAACAAGTGTTTCACACCAGAATTTGACATTATATGAGTGTGAAGTGTTTTCAAATTTAAAGTTCATCTGATTTTTCAACAGTACATTTGTTTATTCTTGTTTTGAACACCCAAATATACAAATTCTACTTCTGCTATCGAATACGATATTTTTATTACAACTGTTAGATGACTGTGTAATGTGGCGTTTAAAACTTTACATAAATGAACATTTCAACATATTCGAATGATGAAATGCGAGTCATTGATGAATGGAAGAATTTCTCAGTGATGAATTCTATAAACTGTGTTGCATTTGCATTAACTGAATTAAAGCCAGCAATTCCTATGCACGTCAGAAAACGGTCTGGCTACAATATGTAAAAGGTGAAGATTCTATGATCCCCCATATTCCCCACAGTGTTTTTCAATGAATGGGGTACGAGTTTTTGTTTATAGATAGGTATCCGTATACATTAACATTAACATCAAGGAAGCAGCCTTTGTCCTGGGAGATAGGATCTCCCGTTCAAGGTTTAATTGAGCCACGACTTTAGGACCGATCTGGTAGGCATCATCCCTCCCGATCCCCACAGAGGGAAAACTTCCCTCACAGATTGCTCGTCAGCGCAGGGACCGGCGGGCGACCATCATGAAGAGATCCACATGGTCAGTCCCAACGCTGACTATTTTCTAAGTAACAGTGAAAAACTAAGTTAAAATTTCCCAAAGATCGGGGCACCACTCCCTTTCGCGGTACTCAATTCCAGGACAGTATTGCCAAAACCAGAGATCATAACATCCCTCCACACCGACCGAAAGGAATCATATCCTCCCAGACCAGCCTCACCATCCACCATGTAATGTGCCCACAGCTAAATGAATTTCCCAATATCAGTCCATTGTCACACACAGTTGGTGGAGAAAAATTTGGTGATGCATTATTTGAAGCTGTTCATGAATGCTGAGTTGACAAAGCCTGAAATGAAAACGAAATATTAGAGGTTGTTCTTGAGACTCGTAATTCCACGCAACATTCTAATAATGAAAAAGAACAAAGAAAAAAAAAAAAGATCCATTTCTGAATGCAGATTTATAAAAGAAGGACTGCAACTAGCCAGAAAATGGGATAGTGGTTTTGTTTCAACATGAACTGCAGTTGTGGAACCTTTACTGAAAATTATATAATGGCCTATCTGAAGCATGAACATAGTGATTAATAATTGAATTCATTTGTAAAATTGAGGGAACAGCACTAGGGGAAGCACATGCTGATATTTTTTGAGGTCACAGAAATAATTTCATTAATAGAGGAAGAAGTTGATATCCACAAGATTTCTGTTGATAGCAGCGATATTCCATTGGTATGCATGATTCATTGTCAGAAACTGAAGTGATATCTTACGAGCAAATAAACCAAAAAAAAAAAAAAAAAAAGAAAAAGTGAAGAATTTTTTCGTTTCAAATGTGAATTTACTTCAATATATTTTCATTACTTATGTGTATTTGTTTTGTTGAAATAAAATAATAAGCTTAAACTGAATACTTTCAGACTTAAATTTATTTTCTTCTGACTTATGCACAGAACCCATTTCCTTTTTTTTTTTTACATGTGTTCTTCAGGAACATATGTAAAAATAAAAGTGTATTATTGTTTATTGTATTACATGTAAACCTGTCTTGTATTAAGGTATACATTTTTGTTTAAATGAGATACATTTGTTTGTTGTACACCCTATCATTTTTGTTTTTATGCGAGCTCACATATGTGTCAATAATACCACACTTTAAATTACCAAAATGTTCATGAATGATAGGCTGTAAGGAACAGTGCGTTATAGAAATGAATGTGATGAAATTATGCTAAATTCATGAAAATCAGATACGATCTGATAATTAATGTCGACAGTGTTTAGGGTGTAAACATCTTTGTCTGAATTATTGATGTGTGAGACTTATTTGTTATTATCAGTATAACAGTTTTTTTTTGTTATGTAATTTTTTGAGTTTGTAAACTGAAGTAAAGTAAGCATTTAATGAGTAAATTAAAGATTAAATTTTGTGATTTAGATGGAAAGAAAAGAAAAACTAGAAAGAAGAATGTTGAAGTTTGGAATTGGTGGGGCCATTGGCAGAATCTTCCGAATGAGTGATGAAGTAAGTGAAATTTAGTTTGAAGTAGAGAAAATTAGTGTAGCTAAATCCAAAAACTACTGGTGGCTCAAAGGCAGCTAAAGATTGCGACCATATTATTTTGTTCCAGTGCTTGAGGATATTGTATGTTGAAACCATTTCTGGTAAATGGAACCCTGAACCTTTTTCAGTGAAAAATATAGATATCTGTAAGCTGCATGTTCATTGAATGGTGCTTGAGTGGCCACTGCTACCGTTACGTGCTGGTTCAACAAGTGTTTAACACCAGAAGTTTGACATTATATGAGTGTGAAGTGTTTCAAATTTAAAGTTCATCTGATTTTTCAACAGTACATTTGTTTATTCTGTTTTTGAACACCCAAATATACAAATTCTACTTCTGCTATCGAATACGATATCTTTATTACAACTGTTAGATGACTGTGTAAATGTGGCGTTTAAAACTTTACATAAAATGAACATTTCAACATATTCGAATGATGAAATGCGAGTCATTGATGAATGGAAGAATTTCTCAGTGATGAATTCTATAAACTGTGTTGCATTTGCATTAACTGAATTAAAGCCAGCAATTCCTAGTGCACGTTAGAAAACGGTGTCGCTACAATATGTAAAAGGTGAAGATTCTATGATCCCCCATATTCCCCACAGTGTTTTTCAATGAATGGGGTACGAGTTTGTTTATAGATAAGTATCCGTATACATTAACATTAACATCAAGGAAGCCACCTTTGTCCTGGGAGATAGGATCTCCCTTTCAAGGTTTAATTGAGCCACGACTTTAGGACCGATCTGGTAGGCATCATCCCTCCCGATCCCCACAGAGGGAAAACTTCCCTCACAGATTGCTCGTCAGCGCAGGGACCGGCAGGCGACCATCACGAAGAGATCACAGGGTCAGTCCCAACGCTGAATATTTTGTAACTAACAGTGAAAAACTAAGTTAAAATTTAACAAAGATCGGGGCACCACTCCCTTTCGCGGTACTCAATTCCAGGACAGTATTGCCAAAACCAGAGATCATACATCCCTCCACACCGACCGAAAGGAATCATATCCTCCCAGACCAGCCTCACCATCCACCATGTAATGTCCCCACAGCTAAATGAATTTCCAAATATCAGTCCATTGTCACACACAGTTGGTGGAGAAAAATTTGGTGATGCATTATTTGAAGCTGTTCATGAATGCTGAGTTGACAAAGCCTGAAATGAAAACGAAACATTAGAGGTTGTTCTTGAGACTCGTAAATCCACGCAACATTCTAATAATGAAAAAGAACAAAACAAAACAAAACAAAAAAAAAAAAAAAAAAACAGAGATCCATTTCTGAATGCAGATTTAATAAAAGAAGGACTGCAATTAGCCCAGAAAATGGGATAGTGATTTTTTTTCAACATGAACTGCAGTTGTGGACAGCCTTTTACTGAAAATTATATTATGGCCTATCTGAAGCATGAACATAGTGATTAATAATTGAATTCATTTGTAAAATTGAGGGAACAGCACTAGGGGAAGCACATGCTGATATTTTTTGAGGTCACAGAAATAATTTCATTAATAGAGGAAGAAGTTGATATCCACAAGATTTCTGTTGATAGCAGCGATCTTCCATTGGTATGCATGATTCATTGTCAGAAACTGAACCAATATCTTACGAGCAAATGAACCAAAAAAAAAAAAAAAAAAAAAAAGTGAAGAATTTTTTCGTTTCAAAAGTGAATTTACTTCAATATATTTTCATTACTTATGTGTATTTATTTTGTTGAAATAAAATAATAAGCTTAAACTGAATATTTTCAGACTTGAATTTATTTTCTTCTGACTTATGCCCAGAACCCATTTCCTTTATTTTACATGTATTCTTCAGGAACATATGTAAAAATAAAAGTGTATTATTGTTTATTGTATTACATGTAAATCTGTCTTGTATTAAGGTATACATTTTCCTTTAAATGAGATACATTTGTTTGTTGTACACCCTGTCGTTTTTGTTTTTATGCGAGCTCACATATGTGTCACTAATACCACACTTTAAATTACCAAAATGTTCATGAATGATAGGCTGTAAGAAACAATGCGTTATAGAAATGAATGTGATGAGATTATGCTAAATTCATGAAAATCAAATACGATCTGATAATTAATGTCGACAGTGTTTAGGGTGTAAACATCTTTGTCTGAATTATTGATGTGTGAGGCTTATTTGTCATTATCAGTGTAACAGTTTTTTTTGTTATGTAATTTTTTGAGTTTGTAAACTGAAGTAAAGTAAGCATTTAATGAGTAAATTAAGGATTTTAATTTGTGATTTAGATGGAAGAAAAGAAAAACTAGAAAGAAGAAAGTTGAAGTTTGGAACTGGTGGGCCATTTGGAGAAACTTCCAGAATGAGTGATGAAGTAAGTGAAACTTAGTTTGAAGTAAGAGAAAATTAGTGTAGCTAAATCCAAAAAACTACTGGTGGCTCAAAGGCAGCTAAAGATTGTCACCATATTATTTTGTTCCAGTGCTTGAGGATACTGTATGTTGAAACAATTTCTGGTAAATCGAACCCTGAACCTTTTTCAATGAAAAATATAGATATCTGTAAGCTGCCTGTTCATTGAATGGAGCTTGGGTGGCCACTGCTACCGTTACGTGCTGGTTCAACAAGTGTTTCACACCAGAAGTTTGACATTATATGAGTGTGAAGTGTTTCAAATTTAAAGTTCATCTGATTTTTCAACAGTACATTTGTTTATTCTCTTTTTGAGCACCCAAATATAGAAGTTCTACTTCTGCTATCGAATACAATATCTTTATTACAACTGTTAGATGACTGTGTAAATGTGGCATTTAAAACTTTACATAAAATGAACATTTCAACACATTCGAATGATGAAATGCCAGTCATTGATGGATGGAAGAATTTCTCAGTGATGAATTCTATCAATTGTGTTGCATTTGCATTAACTGAATTAAAGCCAGACTCCTAGTGCATGTCAGAAAACGGTCTCGCCACAATATGTAAAAGGTGAAGATTCTATGATCCCCCCATATTTCCCACAGTGTTTTTCAATGAATGGGGTACGAGTTTATTTATAGATAAGTATCCGTGTACATTAACATTAACATCAAGGAAGCAGCCTTTGTCCTGGGAGATAGGATCTCCCTTTCAAGGTTTAATTGAGCCACGACTTTAGGACCGATCTGGTAGGCATCATCCCTCCCGATCCCCACAGAGGGAAAGCTTCCCTCACAGATTGCTCGTCAGCGCAGGGACCGGCGGGCGACCATCATGAAGAGATCCACATGGTCAGTCCCAACGCTGACTATTTTCTAAGTAACAGTGAAAAACTAAGTTAAAATTTCCCAAAGATCGGGGCACCACTCCCTTTCGCGGTACTCAATTCCAGGACAGTATTGCCAAAACCAGAGATCATACATCCCTCCACACCGACCGAAAGGAATCATATCCTCCCAGACCAGCTTCACCATCTACCATGTAATGTCCCCACAGCTAAATGAATTTCCCAATATCAGTCCATTGTCACACACAGTTGGTGGAGAAAAATTTGGTGATGCATTATTTGAAGCTGTTCATGAATGCTGAGTTGACAAAGCCTGAAATGAAAACGAAATATTAGAGGTTGTTCTTGAGACTCGTAATTCCTTGCAACATTCTAATAATGAAAAAGAGAAAACAAAAAAAAAAAAAAAAAAAAAAAAAAAAAGAGATCCATTTCTGAATGCAGATTTAATAAAAGAAGGACTGCAATTAGCCCAGAAAATGGGATAGTGATTTTTTTTTCAACATGAACTGCAGTTGTGGACAGCCTTTTACTGAAAATTATATAATGGCCTATCTGAAGCATGAACATAGTGATTAATAATTGAATTCATTTGTAAAATTGAGGGAACAGCACTAGGGGAAGCACATGCTGATATTTTTTGAGGTCACAGAAATAATTTCATTAATAGAGGAAGAAGTTGATATCCACAAGATTTCTGTTGATAGCAGCGATCTTCCATTGGTATGCATGATTCATTGTCAGAAACTGAACCAATATCTTACGAGCAAATGAACCAAAAAAAAAAAAAAAAAAAGTGAAGAATTTTTTCGTTTCAAAAGTGAATTTACTTCAATATATTTTCATTACTTATGTGTATTTGTTTTGTTGAAATAAAATAATAATTTTAAACTGAATATTTTCAGACTTGAATTTATTTTCTTCTGACTTATGCACAGAACCCATTTCCTTTTTTTTACATGTATTCTTCAGGAACATATGTAAAAATAAAAGTGTATTATTGTTTATTGTATTACATGTAAATCTGTCTTGTATTAAGGTATACATTTTCCTTTAAATGAGATACATTTGTTTGTTGTATACCCTATCGTTTTTGTTTTTATGCAAGCTCACATATGTGTCACTAATACCACACTTTAAATTACCAAAATGTTCATGAATGATAGGCTGTAAGGAACAATGCGTTATAGAAATGAATGTGATGAGATTATGCTAAATTCATGAAAATCAAATACGATCTGATAATTAATGTCGACAGTGTTTAGGGTGTAAACATCTTTGTCTGAATTATTGATGTGTGAGGCTTATTTGTCATTATCAGTATAACAGTTTTTTTTGTTATGTAATTTTTTGAGTTTGTAAACTGAAGTAAAGTAAGCATTTAATGAGTAAATTAAGGATTTAATTTTGTGATTTAGATGGAAGAAAAAGAAAAACTAGAAAGAAGAAAGTTGAAGTTTGGAACTGGTGGGCCATTTGGAGAAGCTTCCAGAATGAATGATGAAGTAAGTGAAACTTAGTTTGAAGTATGAGAAAATTAGTGTAGCTAAATCCAAAAAACTACTGGTGGCTCAAAGGCAGCTAAAGATTGTCACCATATTATTTTGTTCCAGTGCTTGAGGATATTGTATGTTGAAACAAAGGCAGCTAAAGATTGTCACCATATTATTTTGTTCCAGTGCTTGAGGATATTGTATGTTGAAACAATTTCTGGTAAATCGAACCCTGAACCTTTTTCAATGAAAAATATAGATATCTGTAAGCTGCCTGTTCATTGAATGGAGCTTGGGTGGCCACTGCTACCGTTACGTGCTGGTTCAACAAGTGTTTCACACCAGAAGTTTGACATTATATGAGTGTGAAGTGTTTCAAATTTAAAGTTCATCTAATTTTTCAACAGTACATTTGTCTATTCTGTCTTTGAACACCCAAAAATATACAAATTCTACTTCTGCTATTGAATACGATATCTTTATTACAACTGTTAGATGACTGTGTAAATGTGGCATTTAAAACTTTACATAAAATGAACATTTCAACACATTCGAATGATGAAATGCCAGTCATTGATGGATGGAAGAATTTCTCAGTGATGAATTCTATCAACTGTGTTGCATTTGCATTAACTGAATTAAAGCCAGACTCCTAGTGCATGTCAGAAAACGGTCTCGCCACAATATGTAAAATGTGAAGATTCTATGATCCCCCCATATTCCCCACAGTGTTTTTCAATGAATGGGGTACGAGTTTATTTATAGATAGGTATCCGTATACATTAACATTAACATCAAGGAAGCAGCCTTTGTCCTGGGAGATAGAATCTCCCTTTCAAGGTTTAATTGAGCCACGACTTTAGGACCGATCTGGTAGGCATCATCCCTCCCGATCCCCACAGAGGGAAAACTTCCCTCACAGATTGCTCGTCAGCGCAGGGACCGGCGGGCGACCATCACGAAGAGATCCACAGGGTCAGTCCCAGCGCTGACTATTTTCTAAGTAACAGTGAAAAACTAAGTTAAAATTTCCCAAAGATCGGGGCACCACTCCCTTTCGCGGTACTCAATTCCAGGACAGTATTGCCAAAACCAGAGATCATACATCCCTCCACACCGACCGAAAGGAATCATATCCTCCCAGACCAGCTTCACCATCCACCATGCAATGTCCCCACAGCTAAATTATTTTCCCAATATCAGTCCATTGTCACACACAGTTGGTGGAGAAAAATTTGGTGATGCATTATTTGAAGCTGTTCATGAATGCTGAGTTGACAAAGCCTGAAATGAAAACGAAATATTAGAGGTTGTTCTTGAGACTCGTAATTCCACGCAACATTCTAATAATGAAAAAGAACAAAACAAAAAAAAAAAGAGATCCATTTCTGAATGCAGATTTAATAAAAGAAGGACTGCAATTAGCCCAGAAAATGGGATAGTGATTTTTTTTTCAACATGAACTGCAGTTGTGGACGGCCTTTTACTGAAAATTATATAATGGCCTATCTGAAGCATGAACATAGTGATTAATAATTGAATTCATTTGTAAAAATTGAGGGAACAAGCACTAGGGGAAGCACATGCTGATATTTTTTGAGGTCACAGAAATAATTTCATTAATAGAGGAAGAAGTTGATATCCACAAGATTTCTTTCTGTTGATAGCAGCGATATTCCATTGGTATTCATGATTCATTGTCAGAAACTGAACCAATATCTTACGAGCAAATGAACCAAAAAAAAAAAAGTGAAGAATTTTTTCGTTTCAAAAGTGAATTTACTTCAATATATTTTCATTACTTATGTGTATTTGTTTTGTTGAAATAAAATAATAAGCTTAAACTGAATATTTTCAGACTTGAATTTATTTTCTTCTGACTTATGCACAGAACCCATTTCCTTTTTTTTACATGTATTCTTCAGGAACATATGTAAAAATAAAAGTGTATTATTGTTTATTGTATTACATGTAAATCTGTCTTGTATTAAGGTATACATTTTCCTTTAAATGAGATACATTTGTTTGTTGTATACCCTATCGTTTTTGTTTTTATGCAAGCTCACATATGTGTCACTAATACCACACTTTAAATTACCAAAATGTTCATGAATGATAGGCTGTAAGGAACAATGCGTTATAGAAATGAATGTGATGAGATTATGCTAAATTCATGAAAATCAAATACGATCTGATAATTAATGTCGACAGTGTTTAGGGTGTAAACATCTTTGTCTGAATTATTGATGTGTGAGGCTTATTTGTCATTATCAGTATAACAGTTTTTTTTGTTATGTAATTTTTTGAGTTTGTAAACTGAAGTAAAGTAAGCATTTAATGAGTAAATTAAGGATTTAATTTTGTGATTTAGATGGAAGAAAAAGAAAAACTAGAAAGAAGAATGTTGAAGTTTGGAACTGGTGGGCCATTTGGAGAAACTTCCAGAATGAGTGATGAAGTAAGTGAAACTTAGTTTGAAGTAAGAGAAAATTAGTGTAGCTAAATCCAAAAAACTACTAGTGGCTCAAAGGCACCTAAAGATTGTCACCATATTATTTTGTTCCAGTGCTTGAGGATATTGTATGTTGAAACAAAGGCAGCTAAAGATTGTCACCATATTATTTTGTTCCAGTGCTTGAGGATATTGTATGTTGAAACAATTTCTGGTAAATCGAACCCTGAACCTTTTTCAATGAAAAATATAGATATCTGTAAGCTGCCTGTTCATTGAATGGAGCTTGGGTGGCCACTGCTACCGTTACGTGCTGGTTCAACAAGTGTTTCACACCAGAAGTTTGACATTATATGAGTGTGAAGTGTTTCAAATTTAAAGTTCATCTAATTTTTCAACAGTACATTTGTCTATTCTGTTTTTGAACACCCAAAAATATACAAATTCTACTTCTGCTATTGAATACCATATCTTTATTACAACTGTTAGATGACTGTGTAAATGTGGCATTTAAAACTTTACATAAAATGAACATTTCAACACATTCGAATGATGAAATGCCAGTCATTGATGGATGGAAGAATTTCTCAGTGATGAATTCTATCAACTGTGTTGCATTTGCATTAACTGAATTAAAACCAGACTCCTAGTGCATGTCAGAAAACGGTCTCGCCACAATATGTAAAATGTGAAGATTCTATGATCCCCCCATATTCCCCACAGTGTTTTTCAATGAATGGGGTACGAGTTTATTTATAGATAGGTATCCGTATACATTAACATTAACATCAAGGAAGCAGCCTTTGTCCTGGGAGATAGGATCTCCCTTTCAAGGTTTAATTGAGCCACGACTTTAGGACCGATCTGGTAGGCATCATCCCTCCCGATCCCCACAGAGGGAAAACTTCCCTCACAGATTGCTCGTCAGCACAGGGACCGGCGGGCGACCATCACGAAGAGATCCACAGGGTCAGTCCCAGCGCTGACTATTTTCTAAGTAACAGTGAAAAACTAAGTTAAAGTTTCTCAAAGATCGGGGCACCACTCCCTTTCACGGTACTCAATTCCAGGACAGTATTGCCAAAACCAGAGATCATACATCCCTTCACACCGACCGAAAGGAATCATATCCTCCCAGACCAGCTTCACCATCCACCATGTAATGTCCCCACAGCTAAATGAATTTCCCAATATCAGTCCATTGTCACACACAGTTGGTGGAGAAAAATTTGGTGATGCATTATTTGAAGCTGTTTATGAATGCTGAGTTGAGAAAGCCTGAAATGAAAACGAAATATTAGAGGTTGTTCTTGAGACTCGTAATTCCATGCAACATTTTAATAATGAAAAAGAACAAAAGAAAAAAAAAAGATCCATTTCTGAATGCAGATTTAATAAAAGGACTGCAACTAGCCCAGAAAATGGGATAGTGATTTTGTTTCAACATGAACTGCAGTTGTGGACAACCTTTTACTAAAAATTATATAATGGCCTATCTGAAGCATGAACATAGTGATTAATAATTGAATTCATTTGTAAAATTGAGGGAACAGCACTAGGGGAAGCACATGCTGATATTTTTTGAGGTCACAGAAATAATTTCATTAATAGAGGAAGAAGTTGATATCCACAAGATTTCTGTTGATAGCAGCGATATTCCATTGGTATGCATGATTCATTGTCAGAAACTGAACTAATATCTTACAAGCAAATAAACCAAAAAAAAAAAAAAAAAGAAAAAAGTGAAGAATTTTTTCGTTTCAAATGTGAATTTACTTCAATATATTTTCATTACTTATGTGTATTTGTTTTGTTGAAATAAAATAATAAGCTTAAACTGAATATTTTCAGACTTAAATTTATTTTCTTCTGACTTATGCACAGAACCCATTTCCTTTTTTTTTACATGTGTTCTTCAGGAACATATGTAAAAATAAAAGTGTATTATTGTTTATTGTATTACATGTAAATCTGTCTTGTATTCAGGTATTCATTTTCCTTTAAATGAGATACATTTGTTTGTTGTACACCCTATCATTTTTGTTTTTATGCGAGCTCACATATGTGTCACTAATACCACACCTTAAATTACCAAAATGTTCATGAATGATAGGCTGTAAGGAACAGTGCGTTATAGAAATGAATGTGATGAAATTATGCTAAATTAATGAAAATCAAATACGATTTGATAATTAATGTCGACAGTGTTTAGGTTGTAAACATCTTTGTCTGAATTATTGATGTGTGAGGCTTGTCATTATCATTATAACAGTGTTTTTTTGTTACGTAATTTTTTGAGCTTGTAAACTGAAATAAAGTAAGCATTTAATGAGTGAATTAAGGATTTAATTTTATGATTTAGATGGAAGAAAAAAGAAGACTAGAAAGAAGAAGGTTAATTATTGGAATTGGTGAGCCATTGGCTGCATTGTTGAGAATGGGTGATGAAGTAAGTGAAATTTAGTTTAGAAAATAAGTTTTTCTTTCAGTGTATAAATTTAAATGCAGTAGGACATTTCATCAATTTTTGTCACACTTGTTTTTGTAATGTGATTATGTCATATGTCACTTTAACATATTGCTGTCACATATTAAAAACTGACAATTTTATTTATTAATTTTTATGGCTATGGACTTTTTTGGCATGTTAATAAGAATAAAATAAGTTATGAGAAATGGTGTGAGCTATAGGGGTATGTTAAGTTTCTTTGTACTTTAAGATCCTATTGTTCGTTTTGTTCACTCCTTATTAATCTTCTGAGCGTTATGACTGGCTTTATCCAATCATCAGATGTTTTGCTACTTGGCATATATTAGCTTATAAGTTAAGATATTTTGCTTTCTCAGATCCTTTAATAATGTAAATATCATCTTAAGTAATGTAAGTTTATGAAAATACAACCTAAAATAAGTAATTATGCTAACTCAATTAATAAATGCTGTTTAAATACCGATCTTCATTATGGATCTAAAATCCTTTGCTGCTCAGAGGGTTAAAAGAAATGCTTGCTTTGCATGTTATAATCGTAATTACGTGAGTTTTTGTCTTCCTGAGTGTTGTATCTCGTGTAATTTCGTTCCGTTAAGCAGGTTGTAGATAACTAAAATTTAAACAGATGTTGGAAAATGCTCTTTATTTTTAATAAATTTATTTTTGGATATCAAATTGTGTAACATCAAGAAGATGGGAGAAAGTCTTGTTAACTTTTCCATTAATGTTTTATAATCCTTAAATGGGAAGATTTTAGGAAAAATCATTGTTCGGCCTTAGAACTTCTTGAAGAAAATAATGTGTAGTAGTTTTTGGCCATCACAGAATTTACTCATTATTATATGTTGTTTCTGTGATTTAAAACTTTGTAGGGAACCCGAGGAATGGCGGAGTAATTAGGCTGCTGAATACTGTGACTTTGACTCGGGTTTGATCCGAGTCAAATGGGCTGGGTGATTGGTTGTTTTTTGTAGTTTTTCATCTGTGTAACGTGATTACAAGCCAGTTTTCCGTAGGAAATCTTCCACAGAGGCACTCCTACCATTAAGCAGATAACTCTTGTGTGATTTATCAAAATCAAATAGTCTAACTTAACTATTAATTTAAAATGTGTTTTTTTCCATGCAATGTTTTTTTTAATGTAGAGTTATTTGTGATCCCTATTTTTGCAAAAAGTAAAGCATTATGATATTGTTTCCATAAGACTCCCTTTGTTAAAATTTTCATAACTCACTACTGATTACTCATGGATGCTGGGTTAATTGTCAGTAATATATTGCAATGTTTCTGGTTTTATAAGGTATTTTCATTTTTTTATATATAAATCTTCATATTTCTATCTCTTTTGGGGGGATAGTGGTGGTAAATGACTGCTTTCTAATTTGTCAGTGTTTCAATGAATATGAGAAATTGGGCTCTGCAGTTGTTCCAACAAATGAGATATGGACACAGGATATTCACCAATCAGTTTATTTAAGTAACAGTGCTATACTTTAGAAATGTGTGGTTCTTAGAAGATTCAGCAAGACATGCTCGTAGTTTATACTGCAGTAGAAAAACATGATAATCTTCATACGTGGTACCTTCTATAAGCATATCTATAGAGGGCTATATAGTTGGCAGGTGTCAGCAACTTCATTTCTGCCATTGTCAAATATTTAAGAAATATGATTATGTGAGGTAAAGGTTGTGGATCTGCATATGGATTTCATTATTTTACTTTCAGTACACAATGCATTCTGCATCACATGCATTGCATGAAGTGAAAGAAGCATTTTTTGTTAAGTGCTGAAATACAGTGCCCACTGCTTATTAAACTCGATAATAAACTGAGCTGGGTGTTGCGTTCATATTTCCAGGAAGCAAAACAAATATATAATAAACAATAGAAAACCATTCCTTATAAAATTCAAACGGGCAAAAGTCTGATTATTCAGTATCTAGAATAACCTGTTTGTAGCAGATAAAAGCATTTTGTAGTTCATTCACTTATGTTTCATTTATGGAGCACTTCAGAAATGGGTATAGCAGAAATTTCAGCCTGCGTAGTTAGAACCAAGAGCTCCTAATATGTTGGGTACACTTACCTAGTTCCTGTCAGACACTGTTTGTTCTTATAATAGAATACCTTCATCTTAGGATTAACAAAAGTAATCTAGAACAGCGGTCGTCAATCCTTAGAACTTCACAGAATTAATACACTCTTTTGCAAAAAAATTAAAGCACCGTGAAGGAAGTGGTTGTTTCTGATGACATTACCTGTGATAGTACCTGTTCACGGCTCACAATCATCCATTGCGTGTTCAAATTAGTTATTGGTCGAACCGCCCTTGGTGGCAATGCATGCTTAAAATCATCGAGGCAAGGAAGGGTAGAGGTTCCTAATATCATCCTGCGAAACATTCTGCCAGGCATTCATCAGTTGTCGCTCCAAATCTGCGATATTTTGTGGCCTGAATCTGGTGGTCTATTGTGTCCTAGACATGCTTGATTGGTGAAAGGTCTGGTGATCTTCCTGGTCTTTGATATCATTGTAATGGCCTCTTTAGTTGCTTCTTTACGGAATTGCAATGGCAGCAACAAAAAAGGTAAATATTCCGCCTCTGTTACTGGTTTTGTACTTTGTGAATTGCACACTAGAAATGCGCACTATGATCGAAATTCCTGTTCATTTGACTTGAAACTTTGATCATTTGCATTTTCGATCAAGGGGTTTTTGCATACCAAATTTCATCACGGTAGCAAAAGTCTTTCTGGGTGCTTCGATTTTTTTTTGCAAAAGAGTGTATATAATTTTATATTTGGAGGACCACTAATATGAATTAAAAAATTAACATTTAAAAAAAAAGATTCACATTTTCATATCACTGAAAAGGAACTTCATGAAAAGCAAGAACAAACCGCCAAACGCAAATGAAAGTTATGCTGCTAATTTTTAATTATTGTAAACATAATACTCATTGCTTATTCAGCAATGGTGCCATCGATCAACAGTTAGACAAAACAGAAAACTTCTAGTAATGCAATTATAAACAAGAATGCAAGGTTCTCATAAACATCCATCAAGTTGCCTATTGACCCAGAGAAAAAAAAAAATATTATTAACTACTACAATAGCACATGTTTGTAATTCAAAGGGAAAGAGAATCCCACTTCATGCTATTATTAATAACAGCAGCATATCCATAGATGCCAAATTCCACTTTCAAATGTCTCTAGATACAACTGCAAAAGTAGCTGAAAATTCGCTAAATTCAGCCGAAATTTCACTAAAAGCAGTACCTGAAATTAAACAAAAATGGTATAATCTATATTCCTTGATAGGTTTTGTTACTCGTCATTTTTTAAACTGAATCTTCAGAAAAATATAAATAATGTCTCAATTTTTCTGCGAACCATCAAAAAGGTATGTGGACTACTGGTTGGCGACTGCTGATCTAGAGGCATTGGAAACAAGTTCTTTGGTAATTTTAATGAATGTTTTCCAGGAGTAAAGAATAGATGTTGCTTATGTAAGCACTGGTTCCCTTTTTTGAACATCAGCTAATTAATATTATAATGTGCATATACACATTGAGTTTTCAAGTTGTCTCAGAAAACATCGAGAGAGGCTCTTGTATTGTTGTACATTATCAGTCTTTGACTGGAAAAGTGTAGTGATCATTGTAGGCTGAAGAAAAAAGAAACTAAAGCATTGATTATGTTTATAATAACCATAAAGTGACAAATCAATTTAACATATTTATTTTCGAATTTCTTCCTGCTGGCTAGAAACAGAAATTGTAGTTGATGATAATATTGAGACTGCATGCAAAAGCACTGACTATGATATTATAAAAAGTGTTAAAAGAGCCATAGAAAATGGTGCAAAAGAAGGTGACTACATGCCAATGTCTGCAGAATTAAGAAAAGCACTGCAGATTCTAGAACTCTTGATCTGAAGGTTGAGCCCAGAAAAGCTACCAGCAGTTTTACAAACTTGAAAATACAATTGAAAGACTGTTGAGAAATGATGCAGAACAGATATGACAAATGATGCAAAACAATTTGCATAGAGCAGTTCTTTGTAAAAATTTAAGAAATTTCATAATCTATGTAATGAAATTTTTTATAGAAAAAATAAAAATTAAATTTCCAAGTTTCATGAATAGTTTAATGCTAGTATTAATTTTTGATTAATTGTTTAGGTATTAATTATTAGATTGTTTGTTCCTATCTTACTGAGTAATTTCAGAATTGATACCTTAATTTGCAAAATTGAAATTACGCTTTATTTAACTCAGCCGCTTAATTAACACAAATGTGCTTAGAACAGAAATGATTTTAATAAATGGCAGGTACTGTATATGTATCTCTTCACAAATAACTGTAATCTAATATATGCATATGCAGTTTGGTTCAAGTAAAATCACATGCTTATGTTATTCCCCATCTTTTAATTCCAGAACATCTGTAAACTATGTCCAGTGCAAAGTCCGAGAGCCAGACTCACGGGACTTTGCTGATTCTAAACTTTCGAAATAACCAGATTTTAAATTGTGAATTTACATCTAGTGTGATGATATGTACATAATAATAAAAATATTTTTTATTAACATTTCTGTAAAAAAAGATGTTTTGCACTCGGATTTCTTTCTGAATCACCACTGTGTGGAATTGAAATGCAACTCAAAGCTAAAATTTGTGTATTTTTTTATTTAAAACCATACTACTGATGTCTGCCATTCCATAGATTGAGACATTGTCACTGCAGCGTAAGACTTCAGTTGTATTATCTTCATTTAGCATTCCTTCTCATGTTCCATTAAACAGAAAATTTGGCTTTTCGTTATGTCTGGGAAACTGGGGGTTACTACTGTGTTGAGTGGTGGCAGGTGAGTGCATCTGATTCTATAAAATGATTGGTACATTCGTAAGGTTATGTAATACTTACTGAAAACTCAAAACACATTTATTAC